TTCATCCTCATCTACACTCTTAATTGCTACTTTGGGCGATTTACACTGAAATATAAAAATCAAATTTTGTAATCAATAACTGAAGCCATCCCTAGAGAAAGTACTCAGTTCAGGGTACCCATGTACTGAGAAAGCCTCAGCAGGGTACCCGATATGGGTACTTCGAAAATTTTCAGTAATTATACTGACGTAGGTGCTGCATTGGGTACCCATTGCAGTATGTTTACTGAACAAGTACTTGTATGAGTACCCGCACCTGTAATTTTACTAGGAAAAGCTCTACAGGGTGCCCTAGATTTGTTGCGTTCTGTGTAGCAACTGTTCATTCACCGTTTTCTTTTGCATATACGGCTTCATATAAGCAACTCGAGGAAGCATAAGAAAAAAATATTTTTTCATACTAATTTTTTCTAGATTATTTTTCTTGACTATTTACTAGTCGAGGACATGCTGATCTCAATCGTAGATTGAGAGAGGACTACCTTGAAGTGGTCTGATGGCGATCCGACCAATTCGCGTCCGGTCAGATCTCGAAATTCGACCTGCTTAGCTTTTCCGAATTAGAAAAATAAAATAAAATAAAATCGAGAAAATATCATAAATTGCTTTGAGAGAAACAAAAATGAAAAAAAGCCAAAGGTTAGTTTCGATCATCAACATACTGCAAGTTTGGCAACAGGGTACCCAAAATTACTGAACAATAGTACCCAGTTGGGTACTTGATCAGTACCTTCAAGTATCCATTTACTGGATGCTTTCCAGCAGGATACTTGGTCGAGTACCTTATAGGTACCTAAAAGTACTTTAAGGTACTTCAGTACCCGAAAGTTCCTGTGACATACTAGTAGCAGGGTACTTTTTCGGGTACCCTTAGCCCAGTACATTCACTAGGGATTGAGTAGAATTCGAGGAAAAAAGCAATGTCTATAGTTGCTCCGTTTATTCTTTTCTTTTAATTTTAATAAATTTGAAACGAGTAATATCTTTAAAATGAAACCTTGACACTGAATAAAAAAAAAGTGTAATGGAATTCTAATTGGTTGAAGGATGTAAGAAGAAGACGATGATGCGCATGAAGTCCAACACATAATGAGTTTTTCTCATTTTGGTATTACTAGAAAAGAAAAGAAAAAACAGAAAAAAGTAATGTAACCAAAGCGACAACAACTGTAATATATTGAAGCTATAAAATGCTCGACTCTTTGAAGTTATTCATCATTGCCCATCTGCTGTGTTTATGAGAAGTAGAGAATACAGAGATGTTTCAAAAAATGTTGATGTTGATCTTTGTTAAATGTCTCATAGCTGACATGATTTTCGAATCGTATATTTGGCTGAGTGATTGGGGAACACAATTTCAACCAGATGATCCTCCTACAATACTCTCATCAAGCATTTCGTCGTCTCTTCTTCACTGTGTTACTTGTAAGTTTCAAGGTTCCTTATTATTTGAGGCTGTATTCAGTCATATTTTTGAACATTCTAGTACTCTTGTTGACTAAACTATTTCTTTCTGATTCTTTTTGTTCTATATTAGCGTGTAATCTTAATAGAGAATGCCGAACATTCGACTACGACTCCTCGTCACTTGTATGTCGTCTGTTCGAAGGTGCTCTGAGCACAGGCAATATCATTTCATCGATACAAACTCAACTTATTGGAGCAGTTCAATTTCCTGCGCATCTCTTCAGTGATTACAATCAACCTTGTTCGAAATGTGTTCAAAATCGATATTTGACATGTTCGATTAATAGCGTTTGTGAATGTTCAATTCAGTCATGTTGGAATGGAATTCAATGTGAGAATAGAAAATATTTCAATTCATCTACTAGTCAGAACCAATCGAACTGGTGTACTGGTATGTATACATTGAATGTTTCTAGGCAACTAATAAAAATTATCATTTTAATGCATAAATTTTGATCTAGGCTATTAGAACTAATAAGGATCTTTCGAAATAATTTCGGGATTAGGAAGAAATTTAATTACTCTCGTTTGCAAGATGGATATTTCGAAGAGACGACTATGACATCGTGTAGTATATCGATTAGTCCTTTCGATAAGAATCGTTTGTTTTCACTAATAAACAATAGCTAAAATCTGAAAACAATCGGTTGTGGTTGTGAAACACTTACTAATACTGAATTCTAAGACTATTACAAATTATCGCTTTTTAAAATAGGGTCCATCCATGAGATTTAAATCACTTTTCTGGAAATGATTTTGAACTCATGATTTGATCGAACAGATTGTGTGAAGATAGTATGAATAGTATCTAGGACACAAAAGAAGTATATTTTGCTTTGAACAGACTTCAAAAGAATTTATAGAAATAGAAGGTAAATATATGCGACATTTACTAAAAAGACTTGTATTTTCTTTAGTAAAAAATAACAGAAGATATACGTCCAACATACATGTTCGTTGTGTTTCGACAAAACTGCACAACTAATAGTTCAGGATTTCACTATTTCTCTTTTTCCTCAGAGTATATTATAATGATGAGTCGTTGCGTGTTTCTAACCAAGAGATGATCACGTAAACTAAAGCATTTGCGAAAAGAATATCATATATCCCGTAGATTCACAAATTCAACTTTTGATATTTTTGTTAGATCGAGCAACTTCGTATCGATCGTATGATCTATAGAAAACAGTAAACCTAGGATAGGATACATTCTTACATTTGAATGCTTTGTTTTTGGTTGTTCTTCTACTTAACTCTATCTTCAACCAATTTCCTGCTTTCGAGATAAATTTTGTCATCACAGCCATTATTATAATGTGTTGTGTGAAACTGTTTCAATAAAAATTTTAGACAAAACATAGAACATAATTTTTAAATGAAACCATTGGTAGCATAAATGATTTCTAATGAAAACACATAGCTATATATGTGACATTGAATAGATCTATCAATCTAATACTTTTTTCCTTTGTATAAGCACATGAATAGCAACATGGAATGAAAGTAACATTATTTAAACGTCAAATCTTGAAAGATATGTTCTAATTTTATTACCATTTGAATAGTTTCAAGTAATCATTCATATCAGTCGAGAATTTTCGAGGTGCGAATAAAAAGAAGATCTACGTCAGTACATCCACATCAATCCACACTCAGAAAATAAAAAAGTTTTTATTTTATAGATCAGTTCGGAATACATTAAAAATATGGATGTCAATGGAAATCTGATTTTCTAATAAATTCATTTTCATATTGATAAGCTTCAAAATAAATGAACTTCTCAATTTACTTTATTAACTATAGAATATAAATTATGTTCGCAGATACATTCAACTAGAAAAAGATTTTAATTAGACAAATCTGACTGAGAAGAAAACAATTGAAAAAAGATCCCACAAAGTTCAGGACTGATTTCCGTATAACTTTTGGCTGCTTTTTTTTAACTTGAAAGGACAATGTTTTTCTATTAACAAACTTGTATTGTTGTAGAGCAAAAAATTCTATTTAGTTTGTTTAAGAATGATTATGCTGAAAACTTTCTAAGATCCTCAAAAAGACAGAACAAAAATGGCTCATTCTGTATATGCTACTCGTTATATATAATCATAGAGTGATCGTTTCTATTTTAACTTATTTTTGTTCTTTGTTAAATTTGTGCAACTGCTTCTATTGAAGGTGAAATAAGTATTATGCTAAAAAGAATTGATTCATATTAATGAGAATTCAGTTTATAAATTTAACAAATGAGTATCTAAAAGAACTCATCAAACTAAAGGTATCTCATAAAGAAAGAGCCTGTCAGCGATTAACTTCCTTCTCTTAACTTTTCAGCTTTTGATGTATATTCTTCTTTAAAAAAAGGCATAGGCAAGATAGTTTAACAAATGATATGATTAAGTTGCGACCGCTCAACAGATATATTATCAGACAGAAGGACAAAGAGCAGTCGCCTATACTTCACCTATGCCACGCACGTGGTGCACGTCTCGAATCGCAGCTATGTACGCTTGAATTTTAATGAATCATGATTGCATTATCCACTTTTATGTAGATTTTATTATAAAAAGTAATATGAAAATAAATTTTACAATTCCTAATTTTTCTGATTTTGCGATATATGTTGGTGTGATTCCTGTAGGTTTTTAAAAGGTATCCATGTCCCATTATATTTCAGGCACCATTTGGCAAAACCAGTATCTTTTTTTCAGTACATATTAGTGGGGAAATTTATTCCTGAAAAACGCGAATCCGCTAATTACTTAACTCACTCAAGCAATCATCAGAAGATAACGAACAGAAATATCATGAAGATACGATCAAAAAATCAAGTATTTTGGCGCGAAGGCTTACTTTTCGTTCGATGAGGCCCATCGAGAACATAGTCATTCTATAGTAAAATCAAACTTTGCATTGTGTACAACTAATTAGGAGACTTATATAGACCCAGGATCGACTGTCAACAAGTATTTCTATGAGAGTAGTGGTTTAAAACTGCCTTAAATCCCAAATTTCTAATTGTTGCACGATGAAAGCCATTAAAAAAAGAGCCGTTCGATACAGAATTAAATTTTGCATCCAACATAAATAATGAGAGGGCTGGCATAGATGTAGGGACAAATGTCAGTAAAAGATACTCGAACCCACTGCTAACTTTCTTTACATTAACGATAACAGGATTCAATATATTTTGGTCATTCGATGGCAATATATATGATTCCAAGAACAATTACAGTGCTAGAACATCAGGTGGCATTTCATATACTACAAGTTATCTTGGAACTGGATCTGCATTGAGTTTGAATAGAGTATCATCACAATATGTTTTTGTTCCATCAGGACAGATCTTATTCTATTCGTCGAGTTTCACGATTGAAACATGGATTTATCCAATCAATTTTGCATCAAGCGATTATGCTATTTTTGGTCAATGTCAAGCGAATGTTACTAATAAATGCATGTCCTTTATTGTTCGTAATTATAAATTGTATTGTGGCTTTCAAAATAATGACATTTCAGGCGCAACATCCTTGATCATGAATCGATGGTCACATGTTGCATGCATCTTTAATTTAGCAACACAAACACAACAAATCTACTTAAATGGAAACCTCGATGGTTCTCATTCATCAGTTGCTTTTCAAGGTTCATCAGGTGATACGACAATCGGTGTTACTTATTTGACACCACCAGGTTCGAACTATTTCAATGGTTACCTCGATCAAATGCAATTCATATCAAGAGCAAAAAATGCTAGTGAGATTTTACGTGATGCAACTCTTATCGCCTATTATTCATTTGATAATGGTTCAACAGCTGACAACGGTCCAAATGGTATTAATGCAACGGCTATAGGAAGTCCAGCAATCGTAACAGGAAGAGTTAATCAAGCACTTCAAATGAACTCAAGTGCCTATGTTCGTATAACTTATCCATCATTTATCATGTTGGGAATGTCCAGTCAATCACACACATTTTCGTTATGGGTAAAGCCAATAAATATTTATGCGGTATCAACTATTTTATTTGTTAGTAAAACAGGTTGGTGTGTTAGTGTCATAACAATGACATCAAATGGTAATGTCATGGCATATTCATATAACGGTAATCCTATAACAGTGTCAGGTCCTGTTCTTGCTCTCAACGCTTGGACTCATGTTGCTTTTACATACAGTTCAAGCAATGGTGGTAGACTCTATACTAATGGAACTTTATTTTCTACTTCAGCAGTCTTTAACTATATTGGTGCGGGTGATTCTGTCTCTGTAACTATAGGATATAATTTAGGCTTGAATGGTTGTACACCAGGATATGGTGGTGGATTTACAGGTGCTTTGGATGAATTCTATGTGTACAGTCGTGAATTAACAGCATCGGAAATTTTCGCATTAGCTAATCCGTAAAATTTAACATATGTAGTCCATGCTCCGATTGTTCAATCGATCATAATACATGAGTATGCTGTCACTGAAGAGCGTGGATTATAATTAAGATTCTGCTTTTCGTTGTATCTGTCATGAGTTCTCACTCTCACTGCTTTTCAAGCTTTTTTTGTTAGAGTAAATATTGAAAATAAATATTGTCTACTCATTTACTTAAATACTTGCCTTATTAATTTGAAATTAATTGTTACAGGGTGGGTTAGGTATGTGGGTGTGAGCTATGGGTGTTTGTTGAAAGAAGACTCACATTCACACCCTTGACAAAGCTCGAGGCACACCAAAGCATAATTAAAATGTTAGTTCGAGTATTTCTGCAAGTTGTTGATCTTTTTAGTATGTCTGCAGGCCAGTGTTGTTGTTTGTTTTGAAAAATGTGGGAGGGAGGATACAAATTCGGCAGAAAGCACCTCATTGAACTTTTTGATAGAAACTGAACAAATAATGCTGTGCTCACGGACTTTCTGCGAGGTTTTGTTAACAAAAAGTGTTTTGTTCCTTTTTTTGCGAAAAAAAATGTCGAAAAATGCTCAAAAATTGATGTTCTATCAGAATGAATCATCAGATTTTTAAGAATTTGGCCAAAAGTCGGACGTGTTTTCAATTTTGGGAGAGGAAGAAGCGGAAGACTTCCATCACTCATTCTGCTGTATGTGGATCCACCATGGTTAAGTGTGAAATTGTTTATTTCTGCTTCTAATTCCTTTTATTAATTAACTGAAAATCACCATAGTCACAACCTAACTGATCTCCGACAACTCATAATTGATGCATGCCCAGCATCACTTCCTATAGATTTAAATCAAAATATTTTTTATTATAGACAGATTCACTGTCGTTAGACAATATTGTGATTAGTATTTCATTCCGTATACAATCTGAAGATTGTTTTACAATGGAAAAAAAAATTTATTTCTATTTCACACGCAAAAGATAAATTGTTCAACAAATTAATATATTTTTCTGTCTTTTTCTTCATGAAACGTATGTTCAAAAACAAATAAATTGTGCATAAAATTATCATTTTAACGAAGTAAATAATTTATTTTGTTCTTTATTTCATGGTGTCTTCAGTTTTTTTTTCTCATAGATACATGAAAGCGAAGCGAGATACTTTTGTAGATTTAATGAAATCTAAATCAATATCATTGAATTCGTTCCTTCAAACATTGTTACCAATATGCCCAGTAGCATATTGAACCAAAAGTGAATAAATAACATTTTTCAATGGACCAGCATTGTTTAAATGGAATAAGAGATAATTGAAAAGGATGCAAAAGTATTTTAGTTGTAATATATCGAATATTCATTGATTTTGATGTCAACTAAGATAACAAAAGATTTAAAACGACATTCTCATATTTAATTGTATTAATATGTTCTATACGTATTCCAAGTAGAAATGATACATCTTGAAGAACACGACCAAATCCTATACGAACAGCTTTCGACATTTCCATCAAATCATGTCTCAACAATGTAGAAAATAAATCCAAATCATCTTAGTCAAAGACGATATTTTTTTATAGATACACAATAGGAATAACTTCATTAGGATAATAATTGCTAGTTGTCGTATTTCATCAGTATTATTCAATAACTTGTAGAAACTCAAAAGTATTGAAACAACAAATTTAGTACAACTTTCCGAAACTACATTTGATATTGTATCTCCAACGATCTCTCGAAATGAAAAGAAATTCGTTGCAATCATATCATTAGATAGTCGAAATGAATTAGTATATGGGCAAGCGTCTATTGCTATATCAGTTAAAAAAAAATGAAGTTACATAACAATTTTTTTGATGATCCTAATATGTTAAAGGAATATTCTTTATTGTTTAATGCATGTATTCTGTATCTTTCTAACCAAAATAATCTTTCCAGATAAGATTGAATATCTAGATTTATATTTTTGAGCAAATAACCCAGATGTGAGCTGAGCAGATGCTGAAGTTAATTAATAATGAATATTTTTCTTAAGTAAAATTAATAAAACCTCGATACTCAATTTTGAACATCATGTTTATTTGATGATCGGCATATAATTTCAGCTCTATGATGAAAACGATCATTGTCATTACATAAAAGATTGTTTAAGATAATCCAAATTTTTTCGTACTGATTATATCGATTTGTTAACGAAACATAGAAAATAATATTATTTATTGTTATTGTTTGTTCTTCTGTCAGAATACTTTTTCCGACTTGAAATAACTTTGTTTCAATTGATTCATCGATGTTAAATTGATGATTATCTCCTTTAATAATTGCATGAAAATCATTGGATAATTCTACAGGATACAAATTCGAAATAGATAATAGGAACAAAAAATTTTCATGTGCTTAAAATAATTCTTCAATGCAAAAGATTTATTATGCATTGTTCTATTTTAGTCTTGAGAAACAATTCGTAATCGATGAGAATGTACAATTCAATTCCATGTATGATAACAAGGCTTCGACGGCTGCTCGTTGATCTGTATCGTCAAATTTATTAATGAAGTTTTAAAGACAATCATCAATCGCTGTTGGATGTTCAAGTAGAGATAAATATCGAATGAAAATAGCAGTTTGTAAGAGAAAAGGTAAATTTGGATAAATTTCATTGGACAGATGTTCAATTTCCATTCGTAGAGTTCTATCGCTATTCACTTTAATTTGTTCATAGTCAGAGTATGAGTAAAGAAGATAATTTTCTTTCATCTACAGTTCAACGATACATATATATGCTAAAGATATTTTCGTTCTTCATCTGTTAGATTAGATCCATTTTCTAATTATTGCATTCGAAGTCAAGATATCAAATCGACTAACATGTACTCTCTTGTACGATGCATTTGATAAAAACATTAAAAATTCAGTTAGAATGTGATCAAAATAAAGATAAGATGCGTTATTGACTGTGGAATCTTTTGGATTGATCGCAATGAATTTTTCTTTCAACAATCGAATATAGAGATTCTGTAAATGCGAAGATAGGGTGTGAACATCCTTCCTTTCCCTTGTACATCCACATCCAAAATTCATTGTCAAAACTTGACCAACATCTATATTTGTGTCAGAAACGATATATAACAGAATTTAAAAAAATATAGCTACAATTTCGATTATATATAGACGAATAAAAATGTTCAGAATAAAAGTTTTTAATTTCGTATTTCATTGTTTTTATATTTTACTTGGAATTATTAAATGTACTAAAGTTCATGCTGACTTTCGCAACATTACCACGAGTAAAACAAAATAGATCTGATTGCAACTCTCGAAAAAAAAATTTAATTTAGCTTTGACGAAACATATTCATTATTAATTCATGAAATACAAATATGAGGGTGTGGGTGTGGGTGTGGGTGTGGGTGGGTGAGGGTGCGGGGAAAGAAGTTTCACCAAGCGCGACTGACAGAAAGACACACACACACAGTCGCCGTAGGTGACAGTGCGACGATAGGAGTTTCATCGTGGACGATTAATAGAGAAATACACGGACAGAATCGTTGCGGATGATGTTGAGGTGCATGGATGTATGGGATTTAGGGCATAATTGAAAGTTAAAACTTCTGCTTAAACTTAAAAGGTGCATTTAATATTAGTTTTAATTGTGATATTAATAGTTGAAAAGCAATAGTGAATTTTGCGTGTAATATGGACTCTTCAAATTTCGAAGGGAACCATGTGATATTTGGAAAACAAGAAAGTTATATTTTAGGAATTTTTATTATCAAATTGGTGATGTACCCGTTGTAAAGTGCGAAAAGGTATCAGTGTTAACTATTTCTGGAGCAGCGTGCATTGGATGTGCTTGAAGAGTTTCCGGGGAAACTCAATTAGACACGGACGCAGGAGACAGGAGATATTGAAGGTATCGCAGATATTATTTATATAGTGCGTGACTTTGAATAGTGATCTATTCAGATATATTTATCTAACTTATCGAACCTTCCTCGGAAATACCAATCAAAAGAAATAAATAAGTGTTTAATATGTCTTCTACGTCTCTATTTCTATATCTATATATCTCCTATCTACCGACGACAAAATGACTGTGAATTGCATTTTTGGTGTAACTTTTGATAGAAATAAGATAGAGAGTTGCAGTTTCCGCTGTTGGAATGCGGAGATAAGGGTGCATGAAGACGTGTTTTACAAGGTTCTCTAAATATGCTTTTTGAGCCTTTTAAAGTCAATTTTCCAAAAACGAGTAGCAAAAAACAGTTTTTATCGAACAGAAACGAGAGAAGAAAAGTTCTATTCTTCACAGGAACTGTTAGAAAAACCGGCTTCTGGTTTCGCGTAGAATACCTATAGCTCCTGAAATATTGAAGCTAAGAATTTGACTGGTGCACAGTTTTATAGATCTTGAATTGTCGCTTTCAATACATATCGGACAGTTGAGAATTCCTTGTAGTCACCTATCGAGAATGTTGTTTCACAAAAACGTCAATTGAAAACTTTAGAAAAACCAAGTCAAAAGGTCTGTAACACATAATTCGATGCGTCTTACTTTCCTCTTTCCAATAGTGAAAACCGCAGCTCTCTATCATGTTTCTATCAAAAGTTACGTCAAAAATACGATTTGCAGTCATTTCGTCGTTGGTAGTATACCTCCTATACTCCCTATATCTCCTATACTTCCAATACCTTCAATACCTCCAATACCTCCTATACTTCCAATACCTCCAACATGTCCTATACCTCCTATACGCAGGAGCCGCGCGAGCGGGGGGGTGTGGGGGAGTGTACACCCCCCCCAATAATTGAAAATTTTTGTTTTTTTTGAGCGACGGGAGCAGATTTGGAACAAATTTCGTGTTTTTTTTAAGAAATTTTGCTCTAAATACCCTTTTACACCCCCCCAAAAATTTTTACACCCTATCAAAACCCGCTACACCCCCCCCCAATCTTAGACCTTTCGCGCGGCCCCTGCCTATACGCCCTATGCCTCCTATATCTGTATGTCTCTA